AACACCAACACTCCTCCCTTCAGATTACTAAAATTATCATCATAGGGAAATCATTTATAGCAAAAAGGAAATCTTTTATTATCTGAAAAAGACACTCAATTAAGGAACTCTATGCAGTACAAACCCTGTGAGTGGGTAACTCGATTCACTGCACCATTTTCCGAATTTCTTAGTAACAAAAAAACAGAATGCACGATGCCAACCCTTTTCTGGAGAGTGCATATTAGGGGAACCCCAAATACTACAGGGTCATCTTTTAGCACTAAAAAATGATAATGCACACTAGAAAAGCAACATTAGCTCAATAATACCTGTAAGTTTTGGTACATCAAGCCTTTCACATAATTCATCACAGAAATGGTTGCAGTTTTTGGACAATAGATCATATGCACTTCCAGGCCATTCTCTATTGAGTTCTCTCAATATTTGATTTACCGGAAATTTTTCTTGGTTTTGATTGGAATGAAATCTCAGCCTTAGAATCCTCTCTGACAACCTCGCCGGCCAACCGTCTGGTTGAAACCTTGTTTTTGGTAGAAAACTTTCAATAGAGAGAAAATTGTAAAACCTTGTTTCTCTGTTGTATCGTAGGTTGTAACTTTTGCACAAACGGTAATTTTTAATTACTATGAAAAATCATGAAGATGATGAAGTTGTAAACAAATTGTTACGGTTCTTACGAAAAGTAAGAATATTGTAATATTTGTGTAAAAGGAATTACCTGTAATTGATTTTACATGTTCTCATTTTAATTATATTAAATCTAAACCATCCATTTAATCTATTGGTTATTGTTTGGGGTTTCACCGGTGAGGGACTTAATTGAACCCTCACCTTAGACTTAACCTAACATTAAAATAGTTCAAAATATAAAATTAGTTTATAACGTGTATATGATAAAACATGAAAAGAGACAAAAACATATCAATTTAACAAATAATGAAAGTTGGAACCCTATAACTAAACCAATGGAAACTGGTTTATATTTGGATAACAAAATGGATAACCAGATTTATATTTTAGCATTTGATTTGGATTTTTAAAAGTGGAATAATTTAGATACAAATTTAGTTAACAATGACCGGTTTTTTTGCACACCCCTACTTTCTATAACATTTATGAAATTTAACAAGTTAATTTATTCTTATATTTTTATGAATTTTAGTGCATTATTTGTACAAGAGTCAGTTACTCACTAGTTATTTAGGATACAAGCAATTTTTCTAACTAATTAGAAAAAGAGTGTAACTAACTATAACTAACTATAACTACAACTATCTATTTTTTATATCAATTAAGAACCTTCTATAAGTTAAAATTTGATAAATCTTAATCAAGTTCAACTTGGACATGAGTGAATGGTAAGGTTTCGAAAACAAAAATGTGGTAAAAAAATCAAAAATTTTATTTTTGCCGGATATGGAAATCAGTTTCATGACACATGCCAAGAAGTTTTCTCGAACAATATGACAATTAATCTCGAGGTGTTTGGTTCTTTCGTAAAAATTAGATTTGCAGCTATGTGAAGGGAGTTTTTGGTGTCACAAAAGAGGATTGGTGGCTTGGAACATTCACTATGTAAACCATTCGTAAAATGAAAAAATTCATAAAAGTTCACAAGTGGTTGCATCCAAAGCATTATATTCAACTTTAGAGGAAGAACGTAACACAGTGTTTTATTTTTTTTGCTTCGCCATGATATGAGAGAATGCCCTATGTAGAAACAGGAACAAGATAGAGATTCTCTTGTGTCTAAACAACTTGTCCAATCCGCATCAGAAAACCCTTCGAGATGAAGAGATGAATCTCTAGGGAAAAACAGACCTCGATCTTGGCAATGTTTCAAATAACTTAGCACTCTGCAAGCAGCATTATAATGTGTCATAGATGGTTTTGACAAGAATTGGTTGAGTTGTTGAATAATGCATGTGATGTCAGGTCTGATTGTTAACTTGACTGAAGGATCAGATGGAGTGTTAGCCGGTTTAAATCCAAGAAATCTTGAGTTAGTTAATAGATCAATGTAGTATTTCTAAGATATTCTTGATATGTTGGGATTCAACCATGGAATCATCTTCCAGTACCACATCATCAAAATAAACAAGTAAAGTGGATGAAGAAGTTGTCTTCTTGACAAATTATGAGTGTTATGATGTTGCTTGTATGTTCCCATGATGAATGAGAAGTAAGCTAACTTTTCATACAATTATTTTGGTGTATAACTGAAGGATGCACAACCATAATCTTTGATATGTGATGGTTGATGCCTTGCTCTTGAAGATACTTGTGTGGTAAGTTATTGAGTGACATATGAAGTATCATGAATGGGAGTTGGGTTAAATGCAGATAGGTAATGAAATGTTGGTTATGTGGATGAATGGAAGGATTAGACGCAGAATTGTCATGAAAATCTAATGGAATTGGGCCTGACTTGTGAGTCAAGTCACTAAAATATTCCTAGTTTTTGGTGGCAAAAGTAGAGTGAATTTAGTATGGTAATATGTGCTCATGATGAGTAACATTTATTGAAATTAAAATATCATGAGAATAAAGATCTAATTGGAGTGAGCCCTTATATCCAATAGCATAACCTAGAAAAAAATCATTTTTCTTGCTCTAACATTAAGTTTAATTCAATAATTAGACAACCTTAATGCATACAAAGAGAACCAAAGACTTTTATATCAGGTAATATGTCATAAATATATGGTATGATGATTTATGGTTGAGGAGTGGTGTGTTAACTCTGTTGATGACAAGAGCAACATAGAAAACTATCTAAGACCAAAAGGTTTTGGGTAGGTTTGACTAGTATAACAATTCTCTCCCTATATTATGAAGGTGTTGATATTTCCACTCCACCCTGCCATTTTGATGGGAGATTCAACACATAATTTTTTATATAAAATAAAATAAAGTTACACAAATAAAATAAATATTCACTTACAAGATAATAGATTATGTAAGAACACCAACCTTGCATTAAAAAAATTGCAGTTGTAATCCATCTTGTAGATTGTTTCCAAATTTCTTTAAGTTTCATGGTTCTCAATCCAAGATATATAGTTGTGGTGTTCGTGTTCTGATTGGATGTAGAGGATTTTTGTGAATTGATGTGATGACAATATCTTAAGCATTTTTATTTTATAAATGGACGACAAAGATTCGTTATAGAGAAAAATGAGTTACTTTTCCTCTTGTTCTAAATAATACATAGGTAAAAGGTTATATCTTTTAAAATTAAAAATAATAGGGACTTTTTCACTCGGTGTCTAAATCCACTGAGGTAATATATTATTGCAATTGCGAAATAAAAAATAATGAATGGAAAAAAATTGAAAGTAACATGTATTGTTTTCTTTTTCAATTTTTTTTAATCATTTCCCGATTTAATTGTGAGTTGCACTACTAAAGCAAGTGACTATACTCAAAACAAAATTTTCAAGATCTTATTTTGTGAAATAGCAAGATTGCTTGCAATATATTATCATATAATTACAAATAAATATCTCAATGTTGTTGGCCAAAGAAAGTAATAAATTATAGAGTATTTTCTTTGACCGACAATATTGAGAATTTATTCAAAAATATAACAATGGTCTTGTAAGAGGTGAAAACAACAACAACAACAATATTATGTGAGATAGATTGGAAGAACAGAAAAATATTTTGTTCAAGGTTGGTAAAACTAATTTCTTCAATGCGTGTATGGAAGAACGACAACACTCAACCTTGAAAGATTTCTTAACTAATTAAGAAAACTTGGAGATTTTTTTGTTTTGCAATCTATCCCAAAGAATTATGTTTACGAGTTTGGAGCGGTTGTAAATAAGATGTGTTTAGAGCAAAACTTAATCAACAAATAATTTTATAGTTAAAATTGGGTATTAAACCCCATAGTTAGTAGTTGAACCGAATGAATAGGTAATTTAATTTTTAAATAAAAAATAAAATAAAAAGAAAGTAACCATTTTTAAAGAAATAAAAACATAAACTATTATTGCCAGGACTTGAAATATGTTTCATGAATTAGTTTTTCCCACAATCATCAATATCAATAGAGGGAAGAGATGATATATTTTTTTTAAAATAAAAATAAAAAATGGTAAAACTTAATAAGCGAATGCTTTTATAGTTAAATCTGAATATCAAACCCCAACAAATAGTATTGTAACCGAAGGAGTGGATCATTTAATTTTCGTTTAATTCCCGTTTTAGTCTCTTGTCTAAACTTCAAGTTTCATTTTAGTCATTTAACTTAAAAATTTTAAATTGTTCCCTAAACTCATCAATAGATAGCATACTAGTATTTTTTTTTCAAATTAGCAATAAATTTAGCGACCAAATTTTAAATTTTTTCGTCGATAACAGATTAAAATGACTAACTTGATAGATTTTGTAGAATTAAGCGATCAATATAGATCTTTTTTAAGTTAAGAGATCAAAATGAACCTTGAAATTAATATAATAGACCAAAAAAAATATTAAATCTACAATTTTTAAATAAAAAATAAAATAAAAAAATACGTCACTTTAAAAAAAATAAAAACATAAATTATAGTAGCTGACATTTGAAGGATGTTCCCTAAATTAGTTTTTCCATCGTTTTTCTATTCCAATCTACAAAACAAATGATATTACAAAAAAACCAAAACGTGATGTACCTAAGAATTATATCTCAATTATTTATTGATTGATGTGAAAGTTTTATAAAAAAATATATTATTTGATGTAATACAATTAAATTTACTCTTAATTTAAATTATAAATAACCAACCCAATTCAAATACCATGAAATTTTTGTTTAACTTAAACATAACTAAAAATTCATTAATCACAAGGATTATTTGAGTTTGACATCCGAAACTTCTCAATTTTACTACATGCACTATTTATTAATACATTTGTTAAATCACTACTCTCAATATTATTATTCATCATCTGAATGATGGTAGGAAACATTTTTCTTACGCTTATTTTCTTTTGCATAGTCAGAGGAATTAATTAGTCCTCAAGTTTGGAGAAATGCGCCGTGTTCTTGTTTCTGGAAAACCAATGAATAGTTCAGTCTCCACATCTGAAATTGGACTACTTTGATCTGCATAACTTTCAACCTCAACTACATTTTCTCTATCATCCTTTTTTGCTTGCTGTGATGAAAAACTATCATACTGCACAAAAAATTTGGACTTAAACTAATTCCATATAGCAATGGTTTGTAACAGTAGGAGAGAATGTTTCAAACTAATTCCCGATAGAAAGTGAACTCACCTTCTCAGAGAGCCTGCTATTTTCAGCAACTAGGGCTTTTTCCTGAATTGTTTTCAAAACAATTTTCTTCAGATCAGAATATTTTTCATGTAATGCTAGTTTGGAGTTTTTTCTATATACATAATATAAAGGCAGATTACCTTTTCTTTTAGCTGATCAATTTGTTCACCGAAAACCTCAGCCTGAGAAATTAAAAGTTCATAAGAATTTTTTTTTCTTTAAGCTCTTCTATTTTATCGGATTTTCGACGATTCTAACCTTTTTAACTCGAATTACGGTTATACTCCTCTCCAACTGTTGCTCTATCCTTTGTAGTTCATCAATGGAACAACTCCCTGAACCTTCTCCTAAGAATTTTCTGCAAAAGCGACATATTTTCATCTTAGACATTGAATATTGTAAAAATATTTGTCAGTATGAATATAAATTGAAGATGTTTAACCGTTTAGAAGTCTCAAGAAGATCAATCTTTTTCATCATGTTTTCTGCTTCTTCCTTCAAACGCTGTAATATATATGACAATGTCATTCAAACTTGAAGTTTCTTATTAAGTTGAATTTGAGAGTCTAGGAAAATGAATAGGAAGACAGTTTAAGTAATTAAATTAACCTGAATATTTTCAGCAGATTCAGTTGTTGTTGGAGTATTGTTAATCCTGGTATGACTGCGGTATCGTTCAATTGTTTCTAGAATGCTGTAACAATAAGGCAAATGTTACTGATTCATTCAAGGTCCAAATAATTAAGTAGGCACTTACTACTAATTGGTTAGAAAAGTGAAAAGTAAAAAACTCAGTCATTGCTTTTCTTTAATTTCATATGCAATACACAGACAATCAAATTTAAATTTATAGAAAGAAATGATTAATGCTGTAATTTTATTTCATTTTTGGAGAGATTATAGAGTCAGGTATTCATTTTCAAGCAATCCCAGATTCTATCTATATGATTCTATGGTCCTGTATGATATACTGTCAAAGCGTTAATCCCTGCAAAGCCACGTTGAATACATATTTTACATCGAGATCAAGAGGAGGATAGCACATCATATCCTTGCCAATTCTAATTGAGTTATGTAGTTAATCACTTTGTTAGGTAGTTAGAAACAATTAATTAACTATTTTGCCTATATAACAAGTCACGTTGTTTTTAGAACAATATACAAAAAAACAAAGATTGAAGGCAGTAACAATGCTAGAAAAGAAATTGGAAAAGAAGATGAAATTGAGAGAGAGAGCATTAGGGTAGAGAGTATTATTGGATGAATTAAAATTGGTATTAATTGGAATTGAAAATTACAAAATGTATTTATAGCACTTGAGAGAATAATCCAAAAAAACAAAAACCAACTAAAGTGGTCATGCTGTTAAATTCAGGAAAAAACCAGAATTTAACAACTTTCAACACACCACCTCAGTTTAGTTGCTCCAAGTTCATCATGCTCAAGCTCTTCAATAGTCTCTTGAACACCTCCTTTGTCACACCCTTTGTCAACCAATCCGCAACCTGGTCCTCGCTTCGGCAATAGCTCAATATAAGCTTTCCATCACCGATCAATTCTCTCAAGTAATGAAACCGCATCTCAATATGCTTGCTCCTTTCGTGTGCAATCGGATTCTTCGCAAAATTTATCGCGGAAACATTATCCACAAACAGTGTGGTAACATCATCATCACCACATTCCAATTCCTTCATAAGATTCACAAGCCACATAGCTTGGCACGCACTCAACGACGCCGCAATGTACTCGGCCTCACAAGAAGAGAGTGCTACAACTGGTTCCTACTTCGAACACCATGAGATTGGTGTACTACCGAACATAAAGATGTATCCCGCCGTCGATTTTCGATCATCTTTATCTTCGCACCAATTAGAATCGGTGTAGCCAAGTAAAGTACATTTGCGACCCATATCCGATGCGGGAAAAAGAATTTCCCAACCAAGATGCCTTTCACATATCTAAGGATTCTCTTAACCGCTGCCAAGTGAGACACCTTAGGTCTCTCCATTAATCTACTCGCAATACCGACACTAAAAGCCAAATTCGGTCGAGTATTATACAAATACCGTAACGATCCAATCAAACTCTGGTAAAGTGTTGGATCAACATCATCTTCATCATCACTTTTGGACAGCTGTACTCTAGCCTCACAAGGTGTAATACAAGGATTACAATGTTCCATCTCACACTTTTTCAAGATATCTAGAGCATACCTCCTTTGATGCATAAGCAGTCACACTTTTGACTTATGAAACTCTATGCCAAGAAAGTAACTCATGACCCCAAGGTCCGTCATCTCAAACTCACTCATGAGCTCCCCTTTGAACCTTGAAATACTCTTGTCATTGCTGCCTGTAATCAAGAGATCATCAACATACAAGCATAGTATAATAACACCATCAATATTATCCGATCTCACATAAACACCATGTTCGGATACACATCGTTTGAAACCGATGTCAACAAGAAAGTCGTCTATACATTTGTTCCAAGCTCTTGGAGCTTGTTTCAAACCATACAACGCCTTGTGTAGCTTGTAATACCCCCTCTCTTGAATTTTAATCACGAAACCGAGTGCCTGCCCCATATAAACTTCCTCATCAAGAGGACCATTCAAAAACTCAGATTTTACATCCATTTGGTAAATCACCCAATTGTTGTTATGCGCAACCCCAACAACCAAACGAATAGTCTCCAATCTAGCCACCGGTGCGAATACCTCCTCGTAATCTATACCTTCACGTTGCAAGAACCCTTTCGCCAATAATCGAGCTTTGTGCTTGAATACTTCACCTTTAGGATTTGCTTTAACTTTATAGACCCATCGCACACCTATCAGTTTCTTTCCGAGTGGTAAATCGACCAACTCCCAAGTACCATTTTTCTCAATAGATTCCATCTCCTCTTTTATTTCACATATCCATTTAGGATCGCTTAAGGCTTCCTTCTCATTTACCAGTTCAGATTCGGCCATAAGCGCTAAATAAATAAAATCACCATCATTATTCACTTCGTTATCTTGGAACCTCTCGTAGTCTCGGAGTCTATGAGGCAAGGCTCTTTGCCTCACTGGTCTACCATCATTCACTACAACATTTTCCGCTACTATAGGTGCAGGTACAACGGCATCGGAACCCTCCAGATCAGACAACTCGAAGAACTGCTGCTGTTCTGCAGGGTGTAACCGATTAGCAACAACTGGGTAATCGATTACACCTGCTGTTTCATTAGTTTTTATTTCTTCAAAAAATACATCCCTGGTTATCACGATTTTCCGATTCTTCTCATCAAATAGCTTGTAACCTCCAGTAGAGTGATATCCAACAAATATCAACTTCTCACCTTTATCATCCAACTTCTTTCTAAGTTGATTCGATACATGACGATATGCAATCGATCCAAAAACGCGCAAATGATTCACACTCGGTTTGAAACCACTTCAAACCTCTTCTGGTGTGATCTTCTCCAGCTTCTTAGTAGGACACCTATTCAACAAGTAGGTGGTTGTAGACACGGCCTCACCCCACAATTCCTTAGGCAACTTCTTCCCACAAAGCATACTACGCACCATGTTCATTATTGTATGATTTTTTCTCTCGGAAGCTCCGTTTTGTTGAGGCGTATATGGAGGCACCACCTCACGCACAATACCCTCAAGATCACAAAACTTCCCAAACTCACTAAAGGTATATTCACCTCCACCATCCGTTTTGAGAATTTTGAGCTTCCGGCCGCTTTGACGCTCCACCATGGATTTGAAACTCTTGAACACTCCAAATACCTCATCCTTCCTCTTGATAAGATATGTCCAAAGCTGCCTACTAAAGTCGTCAAAAATCGTAACAAAATATCAATTTCCGCCATAAGTCTCTACTTGCATCGTTCCACAAACATCGGAATACACCACCTCAAGTAAGCCTTTGGTTCTTCGACCCGCATCCTTGATAAACACATTCTTATGTTGCTTACTCTTCACACATTTCTCACACAATTCTGTCGGAACACTAATATGTGGCATCCCCGTTACCATTTCACTTTGTTGCAACATTTTGAAATTTCTAAAGTTTATGTGACCAAGACGGTAATGCCATAACCACTCATCTCTACTTGTCGCGGTAGCTAAACAACGATGCTTCATAACCTTTAACTCAACCTTAAATGTTCTATTCGCAGCCATCGGCGCTTTTAGAATCAACACACCACTTGAATCTAAAACGTGTAACATCTTGTTCTCCAACCGAATTAAGTACCCTCTTCCAAGTAATTGGCCAATGCTCAAAAGATTGCACTTAATTCCCGGTATGTACAAGACATATTTGATCCTTGAATGTCGACCATTCTTCCTTCTGATCAAAACATCTCCTACCCCTTCGACGCTTAAAGTGGCGTCGTCGGCAAACTTGACTTTACTCTTTGCCGCTTGATTGATTTCCACAAACCAATCCTTCCGACCCGTCATATGTGTTGAACAACCGGAATCCAAGTACCATTCATCTTTACTTTGAACTCCATCACGCACGGTAACTAATGCATTTCGATCCTAATGCATTTTCTCACCACTTTCCGGAATAGTACATCTGCTGTCCCGCAAACTATCACCACAGTAGCTGCTGTTTTGAACATCAAGAGTGCTATAATTCTCCTATGTAATCATCACTAGAAGGGTGTCTTCATCATCTCCCTCTTCTCTAGCAACCTTGGCTTCATCATTTCGAGTTTTATTCAATCTAACGCGACACATAGATTGAAAGTGTCCAAGCTTTTTACACTTGAAACATTGCACTTTACTCAAATCCCTTTTGATACCATTGCTATGATCACTCTCCTTGGAGCTGCTCTCACCCTTTTCACCCGTCGAATTCTTCGAATTTTGAGACTCGTTTATACCAAACTTCTGAAAATTTGGCTTACCTCTAGCTGCAAATTTTCCTTTCGACCTCTTATTCTTCTCATTAAAACGCGCTTGCAAAGCGATCTCCGCTTTGGCTTTATCAGCACCTCTCTCATCCATCCTTTGTTCATGTGCCTCTAACGAACTTTGCAACTCATCCTTGCTAAAAATAGTTAGATCATTTGACTCTTCAATATCCACAACTATATTATCGAACCGTGATGTTAACGAACGCAACACTTTCGATACAACATTCTGCTCAAGAATCGTTTCGCCACATGACTTTATTTGATTAACTAACCGGGTAATGCGCGTAATGTAATCGTAAATCGTTTCTTTGTCCTCCATTTGCATTAACTCAAATTTGCGTTTGTAAGTTTGTAACCTTACCACCTTCGCTTTGACGGCACCGGCATATGCTTTCTTCAAGATTTTCCATGCTTGCTTCGCGGATTCACAATCGCCAACCTTCTCGAAATTGTTGTTATCAACACAAGAGTGAATCAAGAATAGGGCTTTGTAATCCTTCTTCTTTTTTTCCTTGTGTGTAGCCCTAATAGCTTTGGTAGCATCTGCCCCTAACAGTGTAACTCCATTGATGACAATCTCAAGAACCTCTTGATAACCAAACAGAACCTTCATTTGTTTCGCCCATTTGTCGTAGTTCTTCGAATCAAGAATTGAGAGATTGGTGAGAATTCGATCATTAGAAACGGTAGCCATTGTTGCAGCGGATTAGGATCAATAACCAGAGCTCTTGATGCCAAATGTTAGAACAACATGCAAAAAACAGAGATTGAAGG